TGCTTACCTAGAAGGACAGGTTACAATAAAGATGATGCCAAGTACTAAATAATTATTTCATGATAACCTATGCTTTTCGCAAAGGAGTCAATCTAGCCCCACAAAGAAAGCTTTGCATGCTCCTTGGTGTCGTTTTATTTCCGTTTAAGACGGGTAAGTCTGGCTGAGTACATTCTCGTACTCAGGGCTTTATTCCCATTGTTGTTGCAGATGGTCAGATGTACTACGGGTACTGCATCAACTGTCTTTACCCAGCGATGGGCGACAATTAGGACCAAGGGCGTGGTCATTCCTTATATCTTATCTCTTGCTTTTGGTGGAGCTTGACCTCATGTTGGCACTGTATTAAAACTACGTGTGAGAGTTGGTTTCAAAACTATTTGCTTCCGCTACTTTATTTTGAACTTGTGTTGTAATAACTTTATGTTTTAAACTCCGATGTATTGAAGTCATGTTGTGAACTTTATGTAACGCTTGGATGGTGGCTGCTAAACTTGTACGATCTTGGCTTGTTGTTGGATGGTTTGAAATCCTGCGTGATTTCACGGACTACTGGGTTCGTATGGACTTAAGTACGTTAATTTATCTACGTCGGCAGGTGGTTTTCTTACTTAAGCCTATATGGATTGGTCGGTTCTGTTACATATTCAAATGGCTAGGACACATGGCGTCATGGAGACGACCGGACGCTGTTGACCGGACGCGTCCGGTGCAACATAAAGCGCGTCCAGTCGATGCACAGAATGCCCAGTGAAGGGGTATAACTGCTCTATTGGTTTGGGGCCTATATATAGAAGTGGTGGCCGGCCTTGGCTGGTTGCTAAGCACCCTTGAGCCTTGGTGGCTTATGTAGGTGTGCTTGGAAGCCCTCTAACTCACTTGTGCTAGCTAGTGTGCGAATCAATAGCGAAGTGAGTGATCTCTAGTGCGTTGCTTTGAGAGATAGCATGAGTGGCACTAGGTGTTTGTGTTGCAAGCCGAAAGTGCTTGTTACTCTTGGAGGTTGCCACCTCCTAGATGGCTTGGTGACTTGTGGCTCCGTCGAAGCACGCAAGAAGCTTGTGCGTGGCTCCGAAGAAAGCTTGTGAGGGGTATTGTGCTCGCCCAGCGGGGACCGCGAAGAGTAACTCTAGTTGAGCGTGTCATTGAGCTACCCTCACTTTCGGGGTAGGTTCTTGCGGTGCCCGACGTGCGGGCTAGGTGGGTGATGCCAATTAGCCGCCAAACCACCAAGTGAGCGGTCGACATAACGGGGACGTAGCGTGTTGGCAAGCACGTGAACCTCGGGAGAAAATCACCGTGTCAACATTGTCATCATCATCTTCTCGGTGGTTTGCATTCCGTGAAACATAAGCTTGTATTTACATTTCATATACTTGTGCTTGTTGTTGTTGCTCTTGCGCTACTAGTTTGCTTGTGTAGCTTGCTAGTAGCTAGCTTAGCTTGTGTAGCTTAGTTAGCTCCCTTGCGTGGCTAATTTGGTTTGTGTAACCTTGTTAGTCACATTGCTTAGTTTGTGTAGCTAAGTAATTTACGCTCTCTAATTTGGCATGGGTTGCCTTGTTATTGAGCATTGCTAGTGAGCTTAGGCTTTGTGCTTTTGCTTACTAAAATTGTGTAGGAGCTCCTCCGGTTGGCAAAGTACTAGTTGCATAGGTTTGTGTGACCTTACCACTAGAATTGTTTAGGCGAGCTCTTGCCAAGCTTAGCACCTTAGTTGCTTAATTAGTATCATTGCAAGGTGCTAGAGTACTTAGATAGAGGGGTGTAGTCTTGGCTAGACCGATAGTTTTAATTCCGCACTTGAATCGGTTAGCCGACGCGATTAAGTTTTAAGAAAGGACTATTCACCCCCCCCTCTAGTCCGTCATCTCGACCTTACACCAGCGTCTGGTACCTCCAGTGACCACTTCCGCCTCTGTTTCTTCACCGAGTTGATCCGTTTCAACTCCAACAACTTCTCCTTTGTTAATGTGCCAACACCACCAAGTGTATGTGTGTTAGCATTTTCACAATCATTTTTAAGGAGTTAGCCACTCAACTTGCCACGCCACTCGATCCTAACACGTATGCAAAGTTAGATCGCTCGAGTGGTACTAGATGACCGATATACAAACAAGTTTGCCCCTCTTGATAGTACAACCATCTATCCTAAACCCGGTCATCAACTTCTCTACACACCTATGACCGGTGAAACGAAATGCCCTAGTTTATACCTTTGCCTTGCGCATTCCATTCCATCTCCTTTGATGTCGATGCAACACATGCACCAACATGATCAATAATGATATGATCCACTTCATATCATCATGTGATCATATTGGTTCATCGATTTTGACTTTACTTGCTTTTCACCGTTGCCTCGGTCCATCGGCGCCAAGTCCTCGACTTGCCCTTCACTCTTGCAATCGGTCCGTCAAGCCAAGTCATGTCTTGATCTTCTCCACCTTGATCATATGACTCAATGTCATGTCTCATGTGCAATAAGCTCCTTCATCACATGAGTAAGCTTTGCAACATTTTTGAGCCATTTTCACCTCCATGGCATATGTTGCTCACACACATGTACCTGTGGACTAATCACATATGTATCTCACGTTAAACACAACTAGTCCACCTAGGTTGTTACTCAATTACCAAAATCAAACAAGGACCTTTCACTTGCGTCCTCGTTGGGCAAACCACAGAACTGGTTTGCCTGTACCATCATGATCAGGCTAGTCCAGAGCTTGAAGTTTCTAGTGCCCGTGTTGACAGCGGGCCCAACGAGCACGTTAGCAACAGCGGGGCTGGAGTAGTCGTGGAGTGACTTGGTCATAGCAGTAGTAGCGGATGGTGCGGGGGTAACTGGTTCACTTGCCGGCGGAGTAGCAGAAGAAGCGGTACGAGACCGGTTCTTCCTTAGGAGTGCCTCCGGGTTATCGGTGTAGTTGTTCTGCAGGTCAAAACCACTCATACACTATCCTATTTTCATCCACAATAGGGAGAAAACAAGCAGAGTTAGCCTGCATAAACTATGGCTACCATTACATGCATGTGATCATGATCATGTTCTACTGATTCTTTTAACCATGCCTTCCCCGGCAACGTCGTCAGAAATGCTTGTTGGTATTTCTTAGCGCAATCACCAAGTATGGAGATGGAATCCATTCCTGGCAACGGCACTAGAAATGCATGTTGGTATTTCTTAGCACCATCACTAAGATTTAGTAAACCTTAGCAACGACGCCAAGAAACATCAACCACGATAGTTCTTAACGATTGCAGAGAATATCCGCAAGCGCACGAATCTATCGTTGTAGCATTTCACCCGGAAGTATTCAGGGTATCGTTATTTATATTTTTCCAAAGTAAGCCATGGTGTAAAGAGTCTAGCATGGATATGAACAAGATTACATACTTGCATAGTGAACCAATAGTCTATGGCAGGGGTAAAAACGGTATTTCAAGGATAGTGGACACACACTTGGGCTAACCTCAAGGATAAAAGGAAAATAAAGAATAAAATAATGTTCCTAAGCGGAGCAGGCATGTTCTAATATAGCCGTGCAAAGAACAGTTGATGATCATACAAATTACATGGTTAGAGCTAAAGCTAGGCATGAGTTGGGTCGAGAGACCATCGAGTAGTGGTCTGCCAGCAACCACATGTGACAATTTAGACTCCTACACCCTACCCGAACGTGGGGGATTATGAGGGACGAACAGGGCTGTCACCACCTGCCGCGTACCCTTCAACCGTGGAGTAGGAAATGTATTCAACTGTCCCTATGCACCCGGGCACCACGTCCGATTACACAGAAACTACCCACATCCCCTCAAACTCCGACCCTACGGATCGATAAGCATAGGACATGGGCACACCTGAAGGCACGATGAACCGCCACCTCAACTTAGCTCTAATTCTAATCATATAAGTTATATGAATGATTAAGCATAATGTTTTACATGTTAAGCTCATAGTATAGAAACTATATGCTTGTTCATATGTCATGATTATAACATGAAAACTATATTATAGTTCATAAGCATAACTATATTGAAGATATGAGAGCAAGACTTTGAAAAAACTCTTTATAGTATTCATACCAAGATGTCTCTCTTCCAAGGAGCCAAGCTCTCCTTGATAGCTTTTCTAGCTCCAAAGTACTGCTAAGAAAGTAAAAAGTACAAGGGAGGTGTGAGGTGTTTGGCTCCAAATGAGGTGTGTTTTGAAGGAGAGCTCCACTCATGCTTATATACTAGAGTGAGGTCGGTTTGGGTTAGATAAATTAGGAAACTAGCCTAAACCGCCTATGCATGCTGCCATGCAACCGCCGGAGCGAGGTGGGGCCGAGCCATGCTGGGGGCGGCACCTTGGCCTGGCTCGCTCGCCACCGCCTCGCTCTGGTGGGTTGCTGGCTGGGCTTGGGTTGCTTCCTCGGTGGTGCTCGGCCCAGTTTTGGCGTGTAAGTGGGCTTTTGCTTGGTTCCTTTGCGCTTTTCTGCTTTACGCTTTTCTGAGTTTCGCCTTTTGATCATATTCCCATGTATTTCATGAGTAAGTCCTGCGAAACACTAAGTCTCCAATACATGTGGAAATATGTCAATAGTAAAAGCATATCTGTTAAAAGTTTACTTGTTTCTCTCATTTTGGATATTAATTGGCGTTCGAATATGGTCGTTAAGGACCACCAACACACACCTTACACAAATTAATTGACACATACTACGAATTATAAACTGACTGCTAACAGCAATTTTTACACAAGAGTTGTCCAGCAGTAGAAAGCATTAGAAATTTTTACACAAGGACGAGTTGTCCAGCAGTACAAAGCTTGGGATACCTCAATCCACATAACACATGGTAAGACCAGAGTTCTCTGGCAAAGGCTATGTTTGATATCATACACTGTTGGGCAAAAGCTGAATATGGCATACACCTAATGGATACTGTCATGCAAAAAACCAGACGATTGCCTGTTACTATCCTCCTGACTGATAAGTTACAGATGTTGATGGCTATCTTCGCGAAGCTGCACTGTCTGCTGCTTGGGACCTTGAGTCCCATGTCGATCCGTTGTTGAACTGTCCACGAACAGGCTCGTACCTCGCTGCCATCGCGGCATGCCTGTTAGTCTGATGGTTTGATGTGTATCCCTTTCGCCGCTGCTGATTCTGGTGCGGACCGTCGGTTTGGAACTCTGCATTATACGCCTGCTGATTGTGGATCTGATATGTTCCTCCGGGTGCTCTATAAACCTGATGACGACTCTGGTATGGTCCTGTTTGGAATCTTGAAGCATAGACCTGATTGTGGCTTTGGTATGGCCCTGTTTGCAGCCCCGTAGCATAAACCTGCTGATTATGATTCTGGTACGGTTCAGCTGTTTGGGGCCAAGTAGGATACACCTGTGGAACAATATGATTCTGGTAAGGCGTGGTCTGATGCACTGTAGTATTTGTTTGTAGATTACAGCCTGTGTATGGTATGGCTGTTTGTCGAACTGTTGTAGCTTGCGGATGGTTGCGATACTGTACTGCTGTTTCATGTGCAGTATTTGCTAGTGGGTCTTCATGGACTGATCTGATTCCAGCAAACCCTCTGGCTCTGGGTGCTTGACCTTGATCACGCCCTGCCCGTCCTCCATTTCTGGTATGCTGATTATTCCTTTGTGGAGTTTTTGGGTAAGAGTTTGCTATGACTTTCCCACCAAGTTTCAAGCCAACAACAGGGGTACACAACAGCGCCAATAATTCATTCCGGTCAATATGTTCCAGGGAGTTAAACTTGTGACAAGCATCATTTAATGCACTAGCAACGCGGTCAAGGCCTTTCATACTAACTGCTCTAGCGGCATTATCAGGTCTCTCAACTGGATCTTCAACCTAAACAAAAGATGGCAAAGAGATAGGATGTAAGTTGTAAGTGATAAAATTAAGATAAGCAACAACCACCAAATGCACAGGCATTCTTACAAATAAATGGTAAGATTTCGTCATCCAACTTGGGTCGTCCTGGATTCGCCCAATCTGGCCTGAGTAAGTTGATATGACACTATCTGTAAAGGCATTGATACGAGCAAACTGCAAGTAATAAAAGCACCGGTCAGGACATGATAACCAATCTAAGTTTCTTTCTCTTGGGTTAATAAATAAATTAATGCTGCAATGCATTTTGACATTTGAACGGTTGTATACTTTTGCTACCCAGATAAATAATAATACCCCAATTATGTCAGTGTTATTCCCTAAAAAGATCAGTGGAATTCATGGGTTGTACAGACAAGTTAGCTTGGTGGACTCAAAATTTTAAACCAATAACCTCATGGGGCAAATATAGGGCAGCTAGCTTGCAATAGGCTGTTGTGCTATGTTATGTTGAAGAATCTAGCTGGCATAGGGGAATCGAACCAATTATAACAAAAATTTTGTGTTATAGCTATAAAAGATATTTAATGAATCACTTAAATTTTATTCAGAGACAGGGTGTTGCAATAATCCAAGACTTTAAATCCACCAGGTCCAAGAGTGTACACAAGTCAACGAGAATTTAAGAACATAATATAAAGCGGCATGGATAACCACTACAGTACCAAACAAGACCCAGGTTGAACAAAAAATGTTCCAACGGTAACAAATCAAACTATAAGCTTCTTTACCCTCCCAAGGTCACCCCAAAGAGAAGACTATTATTCAACCCTTCATCAAGCCAATAATGGTGAAGAGCTTAAGATGGACCCTAGATGGACTTGGCAATAAGTCAATGGGACTAATAGAGATAAAAGGTAAAGCATCAAGAAACATGAATTCATATTTTACCAAGATGCGAATAGCAAAAGATAGTACCCACAATAATCACAAAATGTCTCAGTCATCAAAAGTGGGATCTCAATGTTCAGTACCTTTTGAAAAAAAGTTCCAAATAGACGACAAATAGAAGATTCATTTCTTTGGCCCTTGTTCTGGAGTCTAAATCTTGCTATATTTGCAGCACAAACCTCATCAAGATGTTGCTCATTATAAAGTGCCGCTTCTGTATGTGAATGTATTGAGTTAAAAACTAGGTACTGACATTCGAGACAATCACCGGACATAAAGAAAATTTCATTTAACCTGTAACATCTCCTGCAATGTTCCCTTCATAAATCTCATTCAGAGGTGGTAGAATTGGCGGCTCGGATGTCTAAAAAATCAAACATAAAGAGCATAAGGATAAGCAAGGAATTTAGTAAAACCATAAATGAGTAAGAACGCATAGAGAAATACTTAAGTACAAGAAATAACACCTGAAAATGAAAGAGGACAAGTAGGCAAAGTGAATAAGAGTTGAGGGTCCCACTCTTTGGATCGTTAATGTTTTGAGCTTTTGCCCATTCCTTGATCTGGAACAAAGGATGATGCTTATTCAAGTTACCAACAAAAACTGTGGCAGCAAAAACTCTTGGCTAACTTGATCATACCAGCAAAACCATATCACCAAACCGCTCATCTAAAGTATTGATCCAGTAGAAGATTTTGGACTTAATCCGACCAGCAAAGTTGTCAATTGATATATCACAGGAGATGCCAAAGCGGTTGCTGACATATTGAAGGACTGGAACTCTTGCATGTGGAATGAACTGCATGTATCCAGTGACACCTGAAGAAATAAAAGCAATAAAACCAAGTGTAAATGAGAAAGATTTGTGATAGTAATGGAGATATGCCAACTGGTGGTTCCTATCCCACTGAATCAAGCAACCATGGCACAAAAATATCACTCTTTTGCCACAAAGTCTAGGATAGCACAAGTATATCATGATGCTTAAAGCTATTTCATGGATGCTGAATGTGCAGTAAAGCATACATGTTTATCTATCTTGAGAACAATATAACAAAGACTACCTCGACTTAGTAAAGCTTTCCTAACTTCTCTCAAGGTATTCTGCTTCTTTCTCTTGCTTATAGGGTGGTTTGAACCATTCCAGAGCTGAACTGATAAATCTAAGTCGCCTGATTTTGAGTAAAGATCTGATACAAAGGATCCAAAAGGTTTCACAGCAGCACCTGTTAAAGGACAATTTTAATAAAATCCGTTAAAGAGAGACATAAAAAAACATTACAGTTATTAAATGTACTGAACTTTTCCTATATCATCAAGATACCCCTAATACTGATGCGTTGGTTAAGAATAGTACAAAGCGGGGAAAAGAAACTTCTCAGCTTATTAAGTCCATCATTTAATGTTTTTGCAGCTCCATTCTAGCAATACAATAACCTGCTACTGTCACCAGCTTATCAATCCTCGTGTTTCCATATTAGTATTTTTCAAACCATTCATATGCAACATGGTGTGGAGTTCACTGAACAATGCTTATACCACATATAGATTTTACTCTTTATTGTGTCGACAAATAACTTAATATCTCTTTATGAACACAACAGAGATTGTGATTTAACTTCCACATATATAAACTATGAATAATTGAATTTATTTCAGTAATCTACCATGAAAATCCACAATACAACATGCACATGCAGGGAAAAACATTTATCTTCAGTACTGCAAGCAAAGTATGTTCATGCTTCAGTGTCAAAAGTGACATCATTGCACCTTAACTAGTAATATCAGGGTCACAGGTGGAAGTTTAAACACAATTGAGAAGGTCTCAATAAGCAGAAACAAATATAAGTTACCTGACAGAGATGCAAGAGAATGGATACAATTTTCCAGCTCCTGAATTGTGGATAGCCGCTTGCTTCTATCATCCTCTACTGGTTTGATTAGTGCAAGGATGTCCTTGATACACTTGTTCAGCACAATGTTGTCATGAACAGAATCAACCATGCTGAAATCCTGCAGCCATCAAGTACATGTATTCAAATAAAAATAAGGAACAGAAATTAATGTCGCATGGACACTGTGTGAAAACTGAAAGTCTAAAGAAGCACCGCGTCACTGAACACGGATGATTCCATATGTCCTCGCAGGGGCGGACCCACCAATATAGGACAGGGGTGTACTACACCCGATAATTTTTGCCAAAAAACGAAGTTAGTAGGCATAATACATGCACACACTTACACTTATTAGATCAGATCCGAATACAGAAAGCCAAATAGCTCAAATTAGGGTTTGGGTGCTCCGTTTTGCACAGAAGGAAGGCAAGAGAGGGGCGCGGGCGGGCATACCTAGTGTGGTGGGTGCTCGTCGCCGGCAAAGGGTCGGACGAAGACCTGGGCAGCTGGAGTACGGCGGCGGCGGTGGCGGTTGCCAAGGGCGTGTTCAGTCGCCTGGCCCCGTTGGGACCCCGTTGATGCAGAAAACGGCCGAATCGTGAATGGAGCTGCTATAGTATTGCTCTCTGTCCCTCGGGCCAGGCGAGGTGGAAGTGGAACGGGAGAACCGAAGGAAAACAGCAAAACAGGTATAAACGCAGGCTCTCCAGTCTCCTCTTTTTTTATGCAGGTGCACGCGCATGAACTAGGCGGGTACAGTAAGGATTACTCTTCTTTCTCGGTTTCCCCTTTCTTTTCCTTTAGATGCGACTATGAGTGGGTATCTTAACGTGCAAGTCATAAAAAGTTGTTTCTCTTCTTCTTTAGAAAAGAAAAGTGTTTCTCCTTGTCAGCAAAAGAAAGGGACATAACATTTTAACATGTTGGTTAGGCCGTGTGTGGGTTCAATCTTCTTTTTCTGGAATTGGCATCGGCATATGGCGACAGGTTTATGTAGCTCAGTTAGATGAGCCCTTTCAAGGGCGTAGCTGTGCCTTTGTTAGTTTCTCAAGAGACTTTTGCTTGATCTCACTCGCCTATCTGTCAGCCCAATAACGCACAGCTTCTCCCTCTAAACTGAAACCCACTTACATACGAAGACCCCGAGGCTATACTGTAGAGGCCCAAGCCCAGCTATCGAATTAGAGGTGAAAAAGGTGGTGCACATCAAGCAGGCTTTGTGTTGTACATGTATCATGCGTATGGTAGCAAGAAACATTTAGATTTTTGGTAGAATCACAACAATCGTTATCAAACATACTTACCGATGCTCGTTTTGTACTGGTCGATAGAAACAACCAAAACCTGGTTTCTCCTTATTCTAGTTCTAGATTTAAGAATTTTTAGCAAGCTAGCCAAACAGTTCCATAAAAGAATTATGATTCATTATAGAACATTTCTCAAGAGAATTTAGATCCAAAACATTTATAGAAGAATCTAGTATCCTACCAAACACGCTCATAATAAATAGAAAAAGTAGCTGAACAATTAAATCGATTATAGCATTTGCGACCACTCGGGGCCATACAGTTCAACGGGCCATGCTAATATAAGTACCCAAATCTATATATACATCTAATATTTAATAGAGTTAAATGCATCATAGGCTTTTGAACTTGTCTTAGGGTGCCACTTAGATCCACAAACTCTCAAATCGTACTTCTGGCCCTCTAATGTTGTTTAAGTATGCCACTTAGGTCCATAACTCATCGGAAGCAAGGTTTTGTCTGACGTGGCGTGGACAGCGTGGCGTTGACTGGGTCCAAGCGCACGTGAGCCACGCGTGAGCCTGGTTTGGGGCGTGCAAATAAGCAGAGAGGCCCCTAACTTCGTTTCATATGCAGTTTCCAGTACTTCACCTCTTCGAGTCCGCTGTCACGGACACACGAACTCGTGGGGAGCACGTGGGGCGGCCGCTAGTAGAGGCAATCGCCAGCGAGTTAGGAGGCCAATACGGCGGAGGAGTGACGTCGAAGCCCGATGGTGTGCGGATTCCCACGGTGGTCGCGGTGAATCTGCACGATAGTGGCGGTGTTACGGCCGGAAGGGCAAGGCCGACCTGTGTATGGTGAGTGAATCCCCTTGAGCTCATTTCGTGGTAATCTTGGTCTTCGCATTGAATGTAGTTAGATGGTGTTGTGAATCGGAATGGCAAATATTTACCATCTTTTCTGATTTTGGTTCGTCTAGGGTTTGGAATTGAACTGTTATTTCTCCCAATAATGTTAGATGGCTTGGTTTGTATGAAATTTCCCTAATTTGTTAGTAATCTTTCCAATTTTAGGAGCTGATAGTGGTGAGTTCACGGTTGAGATACATCATGAAGGTTTTTTTTACTGGAACAAGAGTTAATCGGGCCTATGTTGATGGGAAAGTTCACTGCTTTGATCATTGTGAGGCAGACACTTGGTCTCCGGTGTGGTTTAATGAGTTGTTGTTCATGCTTCACTACCCGAAGAATCCAAATTTGAAGATGTATTGGCTTTTATTTGAGAAAGACATTTCAGATGGCATTAGGTTGATTTGTAGTGACTCAGATACCTTGGTGATGGCCTCTCTGATAGGTAGAGTGAGGACATTTGTTCTATATGCTGATCATGATGACTCTCTAGCTGGCTTGGATTGGGGTGACATTGTGGCAAACCCAATAAGGTCAATGCCCAAGGTTATGAACCCATGTAGAGTGGGAGTGCAGAACAGGAACATGAACAATATTCCTGATGATGTGGATGCAACTTATGAAGATGATGTGCAGTATAGTTCTGTGACAGAACCGCACAATTTATACAAGATCAAGTATGGCTGTCCCCGCTAACACGTTGACACGCACCTACTTTCACTTATATAAACCCGGTAGTCCGCCGAGTGTCCCGAAAGACCTCGGTAAATCAACATCACAACCAAGATCGCGTGATTAAGCAAATACACATCACATACGCAAAGTTGTAGTAGAAATAATATTACAAATGGGTTCACAAATAATAGTACAAGTTTGGGTTTCAAAACCAATTATTGAAAACAACATAACCTTCAAATGATTACATTAATATAAGTTTCAAATACATTGCTAGCATAAGTGACATCCTCAGACAAAAGCATATAGATGAAAAGTAAATATAGAATCACCGAGCCCACCGACGGTTAGCCACCTCAACAACAGGTCGAGAACTTCACCTGCAACAAGGTGGGATAAACCCTGAGTACTCGAATGTACTCAGCTAGACTTACCCGTCATAAACCAGAAATAAAGTGACACCAAGGATTATGCAAGGCTTTCTTTAGTGGGCTAGTTGACTCGTTTGCGAAAAGCATAAGCTATCATGAAGAAACCATTTTAAGTACTTTGCATCATCTTTATTATAACATATCCATCTAGGTAAGCACCTGTACTATAGCAATCACTTGATTAACCAATAACATCCAGTTACCAATTTAGATTAGCATATCCCATACCATCCAGATAACCATCATTGTTCCATAATAATTACTACGATGCCGTAACTCGAGTCAAGTGCTCACTATCCAGGAGCGATGGCGATTCGAATCGATTCCTAACCAGCTGGTGATTTACTCCTTACACAAACATCACTCACCCGCTAAAGTGAGGTACCAGTCACCAAGTCAATTATCCAGGAAAAATCTCAAGTTTGCCAGGAACCACATGTACCCGGGGGACGACCGACTGCCCTTTGGTCTTATCATCGCGCCCCCGTGTCTTACCACACCTACTCCGGTACAGTGCGCTGTGGGCAATCTACTCGGCCCGAATAATCTCCCAGCTTCGCGGTCGAAAGGTGCTTTATTTGGCCAGCTAAATGTAAGGCATGCGTTCAACATGACTCGAGGGCCAACAACGGTCGGTCCTTAATCGACACAGACAGAAACTAACAGCACCCCAGAACCCTGTCTGGTTGCCTCCAACTTTTCCATCATGTCTCCAATTATCCATCACACATGGTTACTTCCAGGATATCATTCTTTCCATAGCTAAATTCTTCCAGTAACCATCTATAATGTAGGTGACCGGATATCACCGATCGCTACCGGTCTAAGCAAGGCTAAGTTGTTATTCGATCCCGACCTAACAGGGTAAAAAGGTAATAAGGTAGGCAAGGATAGTAATAAATGCATCAACGGTTTCAATCAACTTCTACAACTTAATGCAACAATATATAAACTCATATATAGGAATAATTGCTTTTATAAAGTAGGAGACTTAGAATGCTCCGGGGCTTGCCTAGGATCCGACACAAGTCAGTTCAGTTAGCTTGCACCGTCCTGGTGATATATCAGATCCTAGCACCCGCTTAGTCCTTCCATCTTCAGGATAGATCCATCAAACACCGTCTTCGGGTTTGGCTCCAACATCTCATCTTTCACGTGGTGCATCTAGCGTACCTAGATAAGATGCAATATGCAAGTGCATAAATATGAAGAATAGTACCATGAGACGCATCACAAAATAGCAAGCAAGACAAGCATAGTTTACACTAACACACTTAAGTACTTTGCGATGCTTAACTTAAACATCACACAATCTATCATGCTAAGATGGCAAAGGAGACGATAACACCAAGCATGACACAAGTTTCCCAAGATCTCAGGTGCTCTAACTCAGTCATCATTCAAAGCATACGTCACACTTAACAATATACAAGCAAACACTATAATTGAAATCTGCCAATTTCTGGACATGCAAACAGCAGCTACAAGATTTAGCTATAACTGGAGTTACACAAATCCAAATGACTTGGAAGAAGACATTATGGAAAGCTTATGAAATTTTCTACAATTCATTTTTAATCATCTTAGCATGATTATCAAGTTAACTAAGTCAAATATACCCATTTATAGAAACTGGTCCACAATTGACAGAAACAGTCATTTCTGAAACCCAACTTTAAACAGGCATAACTCACAAACCACAAGGCCAAATACCACCAACTTTGTTATTCTCATATTAAGATGATTTTACAGTTAGAAGGGTCAACTAATCCAATAATTGCATCTCTGTCTAAAACATAGACAGAAACTGACATGCCACTTTAAACAACGATAAATGGAGTTATGCATGTACTATAAATGTGATTCTAGACTTTTTAGAAATCTTAGAAAATTCTAAACAACTTTATTGTAAACACCTAAAGCTAATTATACTATTAAGAAGGCCCCACAGTAAGAACAAGGAAACCCTGTCTGGG